TAGTACGTAGTAGTACGTAGAGACGAGAGAGAGAGAGAGTAGAGTAGTAGTAGTAGTAGTAGTTAGTAGTACGTAGTACGTAACGTACGTACGTACGTACGTACGTACGTACGTACGTACGTACGTACGAGAGAGAGAGAGAGAGAGAGAGAGAGAGAGAGAGAGAGAGAGTTTAGGGAAACAAGAGGGAGAAAGAGCTATGAAAAATAATTAGAAAATCAGGCACCTATTTATCATCTCAATAATATATGAGAGAGAGATAAAAGTAAATGACATAAAATGCACCAAACTTGGTACTATGTCTTAAAATATTTTATTTTTAGTTTTTTCTTATACAAATTGTATAAATATGAAATTGGTTCCTGCCATCTTCTCATTGAAACACACCTATAAAAAAATATTAAAAATACTTTTTCAATAAAATATAACACCAAAATAATACTTTAAGGGGTATTTTGGTCATTTTATTTTATTGAAAATAGTTTTTTATATTTTTCGTTAGTGCGAGTTTAATAGAAGAATGGAGGTCCAAAATTTGGTGTTAAAATAGTTCATAGAAAAAATTAAAAATAAAATAGTATAGATGTGACATTGTGATTAGGACAATCTTAACCCTCCATTCAGAATGGACGGTTGGATAAGGGGAGGATAAAACATCTATGCTCTAGGGAAAGCATAGAAAACTTGCCCTTAAGTAATTCCCGTGAGATAATAACATGAATGCTTATACATTGGTATTTTATTTAGTAACAAGTAACTCCCGTGAGACAATAACATGAATACCTATACTTTATTAATTTATTTAGTAACAAGTAAGTCCCTTGAGATAATAACATGAATACCTATACATAGGTATTTTATTTACTTGTAAGATTTTTTTTATACGGTTGTGTTATTTACATTTTCTATGACTCCTTTCAGCTAACCTTACTTTCATTTGGTTAATGTTCTTCAGGTGAGAAAAGGAATTGGGAATGGCAAAAGAGCTTCACATATGATTAGAATCAAATATTTATTGCGTTCTATACTTTTGTTTTGATTGTAGCTATGGAGAAACTTTACAACTATAAATTGTCATACTACTAATGAAATTTTAGCATCTTTTTCCAATATAATGATGTCATTTTGCAATATTCTCACTTGGGTGTTCTACTGTAGTTCTCTTTGAATTGTCCTTAGGTCTTTGGCTATGTTATTTATCAATCCATTGCATTTTTATTTTCTTTTTACCAAATTGAGGCTCTCATAATTTTAACCTCAATTGATTTTCTTAAGAAATTTTTATGATGCCTTAATGAAGAAAATGCGAAAAGTGATCGGTAGAGAATTGTTGAGGCCATTCAAGAATTGAGCTTCGGCTTGAGGGATTAGCAATTACTATTTGGCAATGTTATATCTCAAGTTCAATTCCTACCTTTGAACTATTAAAAAGTATTATTAAAAAAATTTATTGAGGTCATTTTGCCCCCCAAGTGTTATATTTGATTTCTATTGTTGAGCTACTCGAAAATATATATGATTGGTACAACCTCTTATTTCTAAAAATGGTAAAATGATCAAAATTCCCTGGGTCCAAAATAACTAAAATACCTCTAAGTGCGAACTCTACCTTTCTCCTTTCTCACGAGGTTAATCTTTAATTATTGATAATGCCCCTTATTTATATGGAAGGTAAAATGATAAAAATTCTCTTGAATGTAAAATTAAATAAAAAAATTAAAAATATTGAGGTCATTTACCTCCCACTCTGAACACCTGTATAATTAGGGAAATGGAAAAAAAAAACTATAGTCACAATATGTGGCCATAAAAAATTGACTTTAGAAACAACCCTCGGAATATTTCAACAAGCTGAAAATGTGAATTTTGCCTGTCACAAATAATGCAATTTTTCTGGAAAAATATATTGTACACTTTATACTGCCAAGATCCGTGTCTATGACAACCTTTTTTTATTGTGACGTAGAATATCCTTGATCCACCGAATAAATTTTAGAGCAAATCTTTTCCGGACACTATTGGGGGTGAATTACCAAATGGGCACTTGTTTGCCCCTAATTATGATCACCACCCCTTTTTTATGACAATTTTTTTTTTTTAATAAGTTGCTCTTCTGTCCGAAAATACAAACACCGGGGAAAGTCATGAACTCATAATTTTATTTTGAAATTTTGTGTCTGTTACACTCTTATAGCCACCCATTTTGAAATTTAAGGGACAAGAATAATTGTGACTTCTATGTACAAATAATAAATATATTGAATATCTACTATAACAAACCTAATCTTATCAAGAAATATATATTCATACAGGTATGTATCCATATGACTCCATACAATATCAATATCTAGTTGATATCGGTAAGATTAGGTATCCAATGATACCTAATCTTATCAAGAGACATATATCTATACATATATGTATCCATTTAATAACACAAAAAATACTATTTCAATCCTTTAGGAGGTTGAGTTTCGAATATTGCCAAGCTGAATCTTTGTAAATTGATGAAGAAAGAGACATTGCTCCCAAACAAAAACAAAAAAAAGAAACACAACGGACCAAAAATTATTATCCGAGGTTCACATACCAAGCCCAATTCTAAAGAATTTTTTATTTCTAGACTGTACCATAAGACTTTTAAAATGAAGCTCAAAACGAAATAAACGAAGTGCACACCAAAGAGTCGAGAACAAATCCCAAATTCAAATGATTAAGATATGGACCATAACTTCTTCTTCTTTTTGACAAAATGATATGGACCATAAATTGTTATTAGACAAATGGAAAGCACATAGCAATTTGAATTTCCCATTTTTATTCATAGATAGTCTTACTATATCGGCTCTCCTCTCATTCAAATGTCAAATAAATCTTGAACCATACTTCCATGTTCCATTATTAGTGAATTACTGAATTATAATCGCTCTCTTCATTCTTGCCTTTTTCTTTTCGGATGCTAATATCTTTTTCTTTTTTAATTTACTATATTAATTGATGTCTCTTTTTTCATTTAATCCTACTTTCCATTAATTGCTCTTTCTTAATTTACTCCTATTCTTCCTTAGTTGCTATTTCTTAGCTTTCTATTGGTTCTAGTTTAATAAGGTGGTAGTGAAGACTCGGGGGTCATAGCACCCCCACACTTTAGTTGTTAGAAACTGTATTTCTATATATTTGGACCTTAGGTCCCTATGGAATAATATTTTCGAATATTGTAACTCTTTTTATTGATTAATCAAGAATATACAAGACTCCGTATAAATATACGGTCATTAATAGATAAAGATAAATACCAATAGTTATAGATTGACACCTCTTAATCTTATCAAAAGATATGTATCCATACAGATGCATATCCATATGCATCAATATATCCATATCCATAGGTTAACACTAGTCACTGCATTGTGGTTTTCATTCATATTGAGACACCATCGTACTACCTTTAAAAAAAAAAAAAAACTCTTAAACCATCTGAAAAATGGGTGAAAAATGGGAGGGATCGGTTGAATTTCCGAAAAAAAAAAAAAAAAAGACTTATTACTTAAAAAGTGTGCTACATGGCCTTCTAGTTTATTATTCTACTTATCTACATGTGACGCACAACCGCATGTGCGTTGCCTGACGCACCAAACCATGTGTGCGTTCCCTACCAAAACTGGGTATTTATTTGTGGGAAAGCTTTTTATTCTTTCCCTACAACATAGAAGTTCTATCCTCCCTTTATCTAACCGTCTATTTTTTAATGGAGGGCTAACATTGCCCCAATCATAATATCATGTCTCTACTGTTTTATTTTTATTTTTATTATAAACTATTTTGAGACCAAATTTTGGACGTCCATTCCTCCATTAAACTCACACTAACGGAAAATATATAAAAAAATATTTTCAATTAAATAAAATGACCAAAATACTCTTGAAAGTTTAAAGGGGTATTTTGGTCATTATTTTTTATCAAAAATTTATTGTTAATATATTTTATATGTGCACCTCAATGAGAATATGGCACGTACCAAATTTCATATTCATAAAATTTGTATTAAAAAAACTAAAAATAAAATATTTTGAAATGTTGGATCTAAGATAAAACGGTGAGTGGCTCTCTTGATAAAAAATGGATGGTTGGATGGTAGGATGAGGATAGAACTTCTATGTTGTAGGGGGAACATAGAAAGCTGTCCCTTTATTTATCGGGATGTGGTTTATATAAGACTGAGGCCCTAAACAATTAGAGTAAGGCATACCTTCAAATTGTATCGAAAGATGTGGTTTATATAAGACTGAGGCCTTAAACAATTAGAGTAAGGCGCAACTTCAAATTGTATAGAAAGATGTTGTTTTAGCATTGGAATCTTTGCCACTTGTAAATCTTGAAAATTGACATTCTAGAAAATGCATTACAAGATGCATTATTTCTATGGTTTGAAATCTATTTTTTTCTCATGTTCATACATCTTGAAGTCGAGATGGTCAATTTGAAGATTTTTGGGCATCTAAATAACCGCTTCTAGTAAATTTTTTAAGTATGCCTTAATTTGATCCCTTAGAGCCTCACCTTTATACAAACTTTTTCCTATTTATAATAGCAAAGAGAGCTCTTAATTTACACTATTTTGAACTCCCAACATTAAATTTCAGGGTGTGGAGACTACAAAACACTCCTTTAAGTTAAATTTTCTTTAATCAACCCTAAATAATGTGGTATCATTGTATAAAGAAGAGGTTTGGGTAAAGGCATTAACTTTGAACAATCAAAATAACGCGAAATTGAAAATTATGCCAAAAGATACAATTATGGAGAGCCTTTGCCATATGAAAATTCAATATAACCCATAAAAATGAAATTTAAATCTTTAAAAATACTGTCAT